ATTCGCTTCGCACGGTGACCAGTATGTCGTCGGGGAGTTTGGATGCGGTAGAAACGAGGCTGATGGCTCGATGATTTTCGCAAAAAGTACGCTGACCCTTCTTGAAGATGAACACGGCAATCGATGGTCGCCAGTCTCAAGGTACCATTTCACTGTTCCAAATCGTGCTAAATAGAATAGCAAGTCCAGTCAACGAAGTTTCACCACCATGTTTCAGCAAAGATGAAGAAAGGTCGCCTGATCAAAGAGCCATGTTTCGTTCCAACACGGAATGTATGTATTTGCAACAGTCTATGCATAGACATAGAGCCATCGGAAACCATGAAACTCAAAACAAGGTACAGAAATTGTAAATGAAAACACAACACATTAAAGTCCATGCTTTTGTCAGAGGGCGAGATACTATCGGGTTGCCCAAGTCGAAGTAGGGTATTGACTTAGGGGACACCACCCCTAGCCTTTGTCTGAATAGCCTGTCTGCAAGGCACTGGAGCGAATTCGGGGAATCGCGCCCATTGGGAGTCGGTGACTGATTGCTCAATTCATACGCCTTTCGTCTGTTCCTTTGTCAAACATGGGCCCAATGCTCCCCAGAATTACAGCACAAAGTTGCTGGAATACAATGCTTCGCCATGATAAAGCAAGGCACAGTGACTTTATTTAGTGGCGAGTCACGTCCGCCACGTCACAGTGTTGTTAAACGGATATATGTGGCTTTTTATAGGGAGAACGTTTGCCAGGCGAAAACCCACCACGTCCTGGAACACTGCCGCCGAACCATTTGCTGGAACGGGAAAATCCCGAATCACCCAGCTGACACCACGAGGAGGTTGTTCGGCAAGCCAGCCTCCAACACGGAAAGCTCATGTCGAAACTCTTCCAAAGTAGGAGATTTGCCATCTACTTCCCACAACGACTCACGTGATTCGGCAAGCGGCAGTGTCACAGCAGGCCTGCTGAACTGCTCTTCAAAATGTTCCACTCGACGGGCTAGTCGAAGACGCTGAGAATGGAATAGCTGCCCATCTCTCTCAGCTGTTGTATCACTAACGCATAGCTTTCTTTTCACTCGTGTTACTGATGAGCTGGGATTACATTGGCTTTCTCCATCTCACGGGCCCTTGCTATCCACCAACGTTTCCGGTCGATTCGAAGACTTCTTGCGATGCATCGTTTCAGAGAGCTACGGATACGCTGAAACTCATTGCCCATTGGAACTTGTTTCCGCACTTTGATTAAGCTGGTCGATGCCTCAGCGGTCCATTCACAGTTACGATGTCTCAAATTTGATGCACAACATGTGTCAAAGGCATTATTCGGGGCATATTTGAGACAATCCCATTCAGCCTTCGGTTCACCAGCCTCATTCATCACTAACAATTGATGGACCAGTTCGTCGTGATATTGTTGCACTGCACAGTGTGTTCAATTTACTAGTAAGAAAGTTAGAAGATAGCCGCTTCTTTGAATCGGGAAAGTGGGCTCCAAGCGTGTGCGCACTAGAGCATGGTCGGAATCCAGGCACGTGATCCAAATTGACCGACAGTTTTGGACTGATGCGCACCATCTTTAGTTGATGGCAATATGGTCAATTTGTGTCCAGGTCATTGAGGGATTCGGTGGGCGCCAGGTGACGCGGTGTGAACGTTTGTGCTAGGATGCAGTGCTGCTAATGTAAGGGTTGCGGTCGGCGCACGGTCACGGAAATCGATCGGCATTGTCTGTTCGTTTTGCATCGACTCCAAAGCGGTCGCCCAGGTGTTGTTCAGAGTCTGAAAGACGACCTACTTGGGCATTCATGTCACCAGCAGCAATCATGATGTCAGTATTCTTCACCATGCGAAGAAGAGATGAGAGCTGTCGATAGAAATGTTCTTTGCTACCTTGTGAACTGCATTCAGTAGGGACATACATCGGGGCGATAAAAAGGCACCGTGACTTCAGACGCTGCTTATTAACTCCAATAGGGGTTTGCAGTCAAACCACACGCATGCGGCTACTCACCCGTATCCCGTCGAGCAGAATGCCTTCCTCATTTTTGCTGTGGGCAATGCCAACACCGTAAATACCTTAAGTCATTAACTCGGTATCGTCAGGGACGTGAAGAGTGTAGCAATCATCGTCAGCTTCAGAGCCAGAGTGCCGAAAATTCGTCACGACGTGGTTATATTGTACGTGTGTTTTTGGGACAGCACACATCAATACCAATAGAATGAGAGTCAGTGCTTCCTGCTGGCCGATCTGAGCTAGATTGCGAACATTAAAGGAATCAATGTGACATGAAACTCTAGGCTTGATGAAAGGACTACATGTATCCATGGCGGCAACTGCGAGGCCAGTAACAGTCTCCTGCTCAATAGACAGGAAGAGGAAAGAGAAAAAACAGATGGAGCATTGTCGACGTGGTCGAGAGGATTTATGTTATTGTCCGGCTGCCCATTCCGGGTGAGGGGTTTTGTTCGAGGTACCCTGGCCCTAGCCTTTGACTCAACAGTCTGACCGACGAGACAGTGGCGTACATGAAGGTTCTCTTGGGGGACTCCACCCGGAGTCTTTGGTCCAAAAGCCTGACCCACAAGCAGCGGGGAGCAAGTCCAGCTCGAGAGTATAGTTGCAGAGATCCAATGTGATCTGCTTTACGCCTTTTACCCACAGCCTTTGAAAATTTGGAACAAAGCACATATGTTTTACGACCGTATTATGTTACGCACCTGCGACCACAGCCAGCCGCAGATGGGAGTTAGCGGGTTTGAACCAATTTGACCAGTGGCTGCCTGCCTTTAGGCGGGCGGTAGCAAAACATTGAGCACCGGAAAGTGTCCTCCCAACGTCAGCGACAATGCATTACACTCGTGCTCTACGCCAATCAAGCTGTGAGCTTACAATCCGTACACCTGTCTCCCATGGCTAGGTTTTAAAGCAAGAGGGCCATCGACCTTCCCCCAACCTCCGAAGAGGATTGGATTGTGAAACTGAGTTAGTCTGACTCTTAGCAATTGACCTGTCTGGTATGAGTGGCTCTGCAGGCACTTGGAAACTGCCACCCAGCATAGCTCAATGGGTCACGGGGGTACGCAAAATATCGCAAGACCAAGCAGATTCAACTTTGTCGGTTCCATGATATGCACGATACCGTTTGTCCGAACAGAACTAAAAACCATTTCACGGTGTAGCTGTTCCGAGCATTCGTACTTTCCATGCGTCATCATGGTCCCTAAGTACAACGCGGAACATCTTTGTAGCGCTTGAACCAGGATTCAAGGGTGATGTCAGCATTAGGGTCCCTAATACTGTTCGTGATGGTGTGTACCGATGCGGACGGCTTGACGATTGTAGACTGTGAACCGGTCCGGACTAGCAGTTGACAGGTAAGCGTTTCTATTAGCCTGATTTGGGACGCCTCAAATTGTGCTTGTTGCTGCTTCAGAATGGTCTTGAGATCGACAGCCGATATGGACCTTTTGATTAGGATTCGCTCCGTCACCAGCTAAAGTGGTCGCCCCTCGCCTAATCAGACAGTGGACTATCGATCGGAAACTGGAGGTCACTGGTCCCCACAGGAGGAAACGAGGCGTATTAGCTAGTCACGCCGTCCAATGTAAAGGTCAAATCGAACATTCGGGTACGGTTTATAAAACTCACATGGGAACTTAATTCACATAAACGAAGTGCTTCAGCTTCTTCGGTCGCCTTGCACATTGTTTGCAGACGACTTGAAGCTTTGGATGGTTATTGATTCTCTCGATGACTGTGGCGTCCTACAGTAAGACCTCAATCGCCTATCCCGGTGGTCTGCAGAAGTTGACCTACTGGTCAACCTGGCGAAGTCCTCGTTTATGAGTCTGAGGAGGAGTGGTAATGAGCGTACGTACATCCCAGCTGGCCACCCGCTGAATCCCACCAGTTCCGTAAAGAATCTAGGCGTACTCTCATACTGTGATCTGAAGCCTGTCGACAACACAAACTGACTACGTCTGTTTTGGACATTTAGGCGCAGCTCATGCACTCGTCTGTTCTCTTCCATAATAAGACCGGTGCTTGAGTACGGTTCAACTGCCTATTGTCCGATCACAATAGGTGGGGTGCAGAGACTGGAACTTGTCCAGCATGTAGCTATCCGGCTCATTCTCAGTTTACGGGGTATGTCGTACGAGGATCGATGTAGGAGACTAGGGCTTTATACCCTATCATATCGTCGGCTTCGAGTTGATCTCATTGTGACGCACCGGATACTGCACCTGGGCCACTTCCCCATATTGAAGTCGCTGCTGCTCGTTCGCGCACCAAGCAGCGCATGCGGACAACAATACAAACTAGTGGTACCGGATTTAAAGTACATCGCTCACCTTCTATGCTTTGGGCGTCGAGTGGTAAAATATCAGAACAAGTTGCTGAATACGCTGGTCGAGGTGAAATCGGTGTCGGAATTTAAGAGATTCCTTGACGCCCACTTTGCGGACTACAGGTATAGGGAGCGTATCACACCCGGATAAGATGTAGTGCAGCTGCAATATGCTGCCACCGCGCAGGAATCAACGACGTGATTCCGCGCGATCCACCTACGTTGGAGCAACACAGATTTGTATCTTCTCCCTTTCTATTCCCAATCAAGATTTGCCGCTCGTGTTAAGTGGCCGGTTCACCCAGTTGGCTATATGTGCATCCAATCCGTGCTAGAGAGTGTCGACTCACAGGCCATGTTTTGACTCCGTATCGGCGACCAGCTTTTCGTCTGCTCGCCTAGGGATTTCCTTCCTAACAGTCTCATTTGTTTGCTTCCTTCTCGATTGTTTGTATCTTCTATGTTAATTGCTTATACCCCTGCCTGTTGCTGTTAATACCGTTTGCTCTTTTTAAGTTGTAAATGAATCTGGTACTCTTGGCTTCTTGAAGGGACTTAGGAGATGAATAATTTTCTTAGGAATGAGTGTCTGCTGTTGTGTTATACTTATTTCTAAGTAAACTTAACTTCGTGAAATTTTATTGCCTTTATTTGACAGGCGATTACACAGTACCGCGAAATAGAACGGACACATTGGATCGACACCAACCGCCCCGTCATACAGCGATTAAAAGATTTCACAGCCTCAACGGTACGCCACAACTCAATCAAGGGACTCCCTGTAGACCAGCTCGTCCTGCCAAGTGTTCATGTTCTGGATCTAGCGGAGAATGGAGAAATTAGGGCTCACGTTGATAGTGTTCGCGTATGTCCTATCCCTAGTCATTATCTTTGATTTCCCATGCACATGTCTAACGTCTTTTGATTTCGTTGTCGGTTCGTCTGAGTTCGAACATTTTCTTGATTGTTTAAAGGTCACTGGTGTCTTTTCTCAATGCCATTTCGTAATTTTGCGGTGTTTAGTACCCGAATGTATACATTTGTCCTACTGGCTTCGGAGAAGTTGCTTGCTATCCGATCGTTTAATCAACTGTGTTCCTAGCACTGAACGATGAACTCATGTCACAAAGATGGCAAAAGACAACAGTGGCGTCGCAGAGTGTAGGATACAAAGGCCAGCCGAAAAAGGAGTCGGAACGCGTTTTGACTTTGTGTGTTGTAATTGACGATACAACCGACCCTATTCTGGAGTCACGCCATTTCTTCAACTATATCACGACGTACTGACGTGGTCATCTGAAGACTATCTAGCGGACAACATCCACCATTCCGGCCCGGTCTCGATCGAACATCGTGCTCTGCGCAATCTCACTCTCCTTCATTTCTTGTAAACGTTAGTGAGGGCGCGGGTAAGCACAATTAATATGAATTCAGGGGTTCCCAATGTGTTCGAGATGCTTGAGGTTATCGTTGCATCTTTGGGAGGACTTCCGATGTACCCCAGCTAGTCATCTCGGTGGCATGCATCGCATTTAATGTCACACTGAACTTTACTTGTTGAACCACTGTCTATTTGCCATAGGATGACTTTTATGGTGCTCTCAATGTTCCACGTCTTGTTCCTAATGTGTTGTTGATTCACAGGAGGCAGATGATGCAGCGTTGGAACTCATGTGTGGTCTCTTGAAGCACCGAGGATCACTGGTTTCCACTAGCGTCGCTGAATGTGACTTTGTTGTGAGCTCCATATCTTTAGCTGCAATGTGCTTTTCGCGACTGAAATGTCACCGGTTGTCGCCATTGCATAGCAGCCACTTTCAGTGACAGACCCGTTACCGTCTCTTGTATCACTTCTGGTGTGGCTTTGCAGGCCTCGAACACAGAAATTGTGCGATACTATCTCGGCTATCTAGGGAGCATTACACAACACTGCATCCTACCATTGTCACTAAATGAGTCACAGCGAATGGCATGTGTTTATGACCTCAAGAGACAACTTGTCTTTGATCGGTATGACGAAGCATCACTCATATTCACTAGGAACGCAAAGTAACCATAAATGATTTCCACCAAGTAGAGCTCGGTAGCGCTCTTTCCTGGACTGTGTTGGGCCTTCTTTCGCACGCGAACCGCTCACATTCGATGCATAAAATGCTCTTCGCCTACTCATCGACTGACCCCACGGGCATGTATTGGTTGTCGTTATTGCGGCTAGTCAAGCGACACTTTAGGTTGATTAAGTGATAAAACAGAAGTACACATGCTTGATGTGATTGGAATGTGCAATTCTGGTAGATCAAGGCCCTATAATACGCCGTATCGCTGCTCTTTTCAGCATGACTCAGCCCAGGGAACAGTAGTGCTCTGCGCCAAGTCTTACTCCTTGATGTTGCCCATTTCACTTGCCAATTGCATCTTTCTCACTCTGACCTCTTCCGTTTAATTCGTATGCCTGCATTTTGCGCCACATGTCGTGTTTACCCGTGCAACTTAACTCAGCACATTAACTGATCCGAATTAGAAAGTAAATGATCCCTTGGAATTTGAGTTAGTCGGAGTTGTCACCTGTCACTGCCAACGTTTTGTTCAATGCCTCTTGACTTAACGGATGGTTTATTTGCCTTGTATCTAGTACGCAATTAATAGTGCGGCTTGCAGTCTTCCAACACATCATCTCATCCCCCTCATGATTCTCTCGACAATGCTCTTTAAAATAGAGCCAGTTGCCACGGACCTACTTTAAATTACTTTGCTTACTTACCTTGTCCCTTTTTAACACGATGATGTCTTTTCACACATTTTGACGCTATCAATCCCTCGGTATTCATTAATACTCTCCACTGGTCATCATTTCAGTTTTGCGGTGGCTCCATTGCGGTAGTCAGTCTTCTCTCTGACAGTGTTCTTCGATTGGCTGTGGCTCCACCCCAAGAGGTTGTGGCATTGCCAGCGGATCAGCCAAATTTGCGAGATCTAACTTTGCCACCGGACGGCTGGTTAGATGTTTTTATTCCCCGACGCTCAGTTTACGTGCTTCTTGGCGGTACGCGGTATCTCCTTACTCACGAAATTCTGTCAAATGAAAAAGTGTCAGAACTGAATGCGAGCCATCCCTCTCCACTCTACAGCACGCATCGCTCACGTCGTATCAGCGTTATATGCCGAAGCAAGAATCGATCCACTTTATTACCGTTAATCCCGGAGTCAATTTGAACATGTTCGAAGAATATTTTTGCGTCATTTACTTAATACGAAAAGTGTTAATTATTCGATGTTCTTTTCTCTACCTAGTTCCGTATGCTGCGTTCTTTTATAACGTTATCACCTGCACTTTTACATCGTATTCTAGAGTTGCCTGTATATGAGGCTGGACCTTACCGTGGTACGATGGTTTGCGTGCCTCAGAGATCCATTGAGCTATACTGGGTGGTGCTATTGCACCTTCAGAGCACTCATACCAGATTGGTCAATGGTTAGAGGCCAGACAAACTCAGCCTCCTGGTCCTCCAGGTTGTGGGTTGGAATGAAGGTGGCTTCTTATTCCTTAAAACAGACTCCTTGTAGCCCAACGCCAAACCCGCTGCCTTGCGGTCAGGTTTTTGAACCAAAGGCTTTGTTTGAGAACCCTAATCGTTCTCCCTCTAGGCCTGGACAACCTGACAGTATTCTGCCCATGCAATACAACGGACCTTTCCTCTAATAACTTTTTGATGCTCTGGCTGTCGCAGATAATAATCAACGGCACCCTATCTGCTGCATCGAGCAGGGTGGATAGGGGTATGGGTGCTACTGCTCAGGCCTTCCCGTCTTCTTATCCCCCATCTTGCGCTTTTTCATCCTTATCGTCTCGTTCCAACTTTACTTTTATCCCCCCTATTTTCAATTCCCCAATTCTTGGCCCTCCCCCACCTTGCTTCAATGGTCGCTTGTCTCCTAGTTTCAACACACACAGTCGCAGGGCCTCGCTCCAATCCAGTCGACAAATCCATGTTCAACCAAGCGGACAACGTCAGTTCATCCGTTTCCATTTGGAGTCCTCGCGTCTCGCTAAGACTGGCATGCCTCAACCTGCGCACTGGTACAGGTTGGCCAACAGGCAGCACTTGCCCGCACACTAGAGACCCTATCGATCGATATTTGCTGTTTACCAGAAACCCGCCTGCAAGATTCGAGCTCCGTGGTTACCTTGCGATCCCCCACATTCGGCACTGGTGGCACATTCTCATTGCGCCTGTCTGGCGATGATGCAGCTTCAAATGCCGATCAAGCTGGTGTCGGCATTGTTTTGAGTCCCCGGGCTGAAGCTGCCCTGATCGACTGGATCCCAGTCAACAGTCGGATGTGCGCCGTTAGATTAGCTGGTTCTTTCCATGCTACGAAGTCGCGCGGAGACAAATGGTGCCTGTTTGTCATTGCGGTTTACGCCCCTGAAAACTGTAGCACTGATTCGGTGAAAGATGATTTCTATCAGCAACTTCACGAGCTCCTTCGTTACAGAAGAGGCCCGGATACTGTGGTGTTGGTTGGCGATCTAAACGCCCAAGTCGAAAAATTGTCATATGATGAGCTTCATTTGGGCGGCCAACATGGTGTAGGCTCCCGTAATGATAACGGTGAGCGATTGCTACAGCTGTGTGAAGATGCTCATCTCTTTCTCGCGAGCACAAACTTTCGACATAGCACCCGCAGAAGCGTGACTTGGCGGCCACTAGCTTCGAGCCCGCCATGGACGCAAATCGATCATATCGCGATTAGTTACCGCTGAAGAGGCTGTGTCCAAAACTGTCGCTCGATTTGGAGCACGAGCGTGAACTCTGACCACGCACTTTTCTGCGCCGACCTCCGGGTGCGTTTCGGTGGACGTCCGCAACGTCGATGTGAACGGATTGACACCAGCCAGCTGGCGAAGCTAGGTGTTCTGAATGTGTATCAAAGTGCGCTGACATCCGGGCTGAGTAAGCGCCCACTGAACACCGTCGAAGATCACTGGTCGCATATTCGTCAAATGTTACTATCAGCAGGCATGTCTTCATGTGGCAAATCAAATTGCCAAACTGGACCTTGGGTCTCTACACAGTCTCTGGAACTTATGGATGCTCGCCGACGTAATCCGGCTGGAAGCGAATACAGTGAGGCTCGCAAAAATCTCAAGGCAAAGCTGCTTGCTAGCCTGAAGAAAGACCGTGAAGCCTGGTGGTCTCATCGTGCCTCTGAGATGGAAACAGCCGCTACCGTTGGCAATCATCGTAAGTTATTCCGTCTGATACGGGAAACAGGCAGCAGGAGACCTGGTGTTAGCGAGACCATACGCGACGAGAGTGGGCAGCCGATCCACAGCCTGTCAAAACGCTTAGAGCGTTGGGCCGAACACTTTGCAAGGCAATTTAACCAACCTGAGTTATCGGTTTCTTTTTCGGGCATTGAGCGCCCTTCTCACTGGGCCGTATCCTTGGATCCGCCCTCACGCGCAGAAGTCGAACATGAGATCAGGCTGTTGAAATTGCATAAGGCCGCAGGGGCAGATGGGATTCCCCCAGCCCTCTTCAAATTCGGGGGACCTGCTCTAGTAGACGATTTACACGAGTTGCTAGTGAAACTTTGGGAGCAGGAGACTGTCCCGACAACCTGGAGCCGCTCCGTCATTGTCCCAATTTTCAAGGGAGGCTCCCGTTCGGAATGCGGCAATCATAGAGGGATAAGTCTGATTTCAATTGCCTCTAAATTGCTTGCGTCTGTCATTCTCCACAGACTGACTGGCACTCGTGAAAGCCAGATTCGTGAAGAGCAAGCCGGGTTTCGTCAAGCTCGGGACTGGATCGACCACATCTTCACTTTGCGTCAATTGTTGGAGCACCGCCATGTTTATTGGCGACCCACCGTTGTCGTGTTTCTTGACATAAATCGTGCCTTCGGCTCAGTCGATCAATGTGCTCCTTGGGACTGTGCTGAGGAAAGGTGTGCCTGATAAATATGTAAACATTATCAAAGCGCTGTACGCGCATAGTTCGGGCAGGGTGAGGGTTTATGGCAAACTCTCGCCACCCTTCAGTATCACCAGCGATGTGAGACAAGGATGCCCGCTGTCACCTTTCCTCTTCAACTTCGCTATTGATGAACTCATGGAAATAGCGCTCGCTAGACACGACCTAGAAGGTGTGGAGCTACTTCCTAGCGAGCGACTTCTTGACTTGGAGTACGCGGACAATATTGCCCTACTGTGACATCCCCCAAACATGCCAAGCAGCACTGGACCGATTAGCGCTGGCTGTCAATCGTTTTGGGCTGTGCTTTGCTCCATCGAAATGCAAAGCACTTCTCCAAGATTGGCAGGGACCCACCCCTGCGCTAACGCTTTGTGGTGATCTGCTAGAAGTCTTTCAGGAATTCAAGTACATGGGCAGCTATATTAGCGCCCGAGGGATCGAAGATGAGGTTATGAACCGTATAGCAAAAGCTCGAGTTGCTTTTGCCAATCTCCGCCACCTGTGGCGCAGACGCGACATTACTCTCGCCCTGAAGGGCAGAGTTTATAACGCAGCCGTTTGTTCAACTCTCCTATATGGTTGTGAAACCTGCCCCATCAGGTCGACAGACATAAAGAGGCTCGTCACATTCGATCATCGTTGCCTTCGCAGCTTAGCTCATGTCTGGCGGCACGGTAGCTGAGGTGCTTTAAACCTCTAGCTAACGTGTCTAATGATAATGACTGGTGGGAGCACCGCGTGAGCAATGAGCGTGTTCGGCGTCGCGTATTTGGTGCAGGAAGGGCGAGTGAACCGCTCAGCACCATTATATCACGCACCAGGCTCCGATGGCTGGACCACGTGTTGCGCATGCCAGCACACCGACTTCCGCAATGTGCATTGTTTGCGCGCTGGGGGTGCAGTTGGAAGAGGAGGAGGGAAGGCCAAGCGATGACTTGGTCGAGAGAGATGAAAACCCTCACTTCGAAGTTGGCGTCGGTTGGTGCATCCCGACTGTTTGACTGGGGTCCTAAGGATGATGAACACGTTTGGTTGGACACGCTTGATGATATGGCTAGAAGCCGGCTTCAGTGGCGTTTGTGTTGTGAGTTACTTTGTCCATCCCTCTCCTGCTTAGCCTTCCCCTCCAATCACGATCGCATTCGTTAGGCATAATAAAACTTTTTGCGGCACGATAGCCGGCTGTTAGCTCTCCGGAACGATGTCCATCCGTTACTGGGGACTCAGCCGGCGTGCCACTGTTTTTTTTCTTGCCATTTGTATTGCGGCACAATAGCTGAGATGTTTTTCATCTGCAGCTAACATGTATAATGATGATAACGATGTATACGAGCCATGCTGCTTGAATCGCCGTTGACATTTGACAATCCTCACTAGCCATTTACTTACTTCGGCTATTTCTTCTCACACTCCTCATATCTGTTCAAGCTATCCGTCATCATCTGCAACTGAAGACGTTTTCCGGACCTACTTGGAGGATTGGCTTTCGTCACCCACCAACAAGTTGCATCTTCACACTTTTTTCATTTCTTAAATGGAGCTCTCATGAGCACTGGTTTGATCTTCCATACAAATTAAAATGTCGGTAGTCAGGACAACTGTACTCCATCCCCACAACTAGTTGTAGACCATTTCCGAAACAACAGCTGCGAAGTCATTGGCTCACTTGCATTCGAAGTATTGCCTCATTTTCCTTGGTTTTTATGTATATTATCATTTCCACTAACTTTTTCTTCATTACACTGCTGTTTCTTATTATTATCATTATTATTATTACTATTACTACTATTATTATTATCATTATTATTACTTTGGCGTTATTCGTTGTAGCAACATCCGCCTGGTGCCTTGCCTAATGTAAGAAGGATTCTGAATACTGAATACTGTATTATAGAGCAAGTAGAAATGGATTCTGTACAACTCCTTCTAAATATGGCGAAAAACGTTATAAAATTGTCAACCGTGAATATCATTATCGTTCTCATGTAATATTTAAAATATTCGACTTACGATATTTCAGGATTCACAAATGTGATATGTCATCGTAAGTGTGCAGTCGTTCTCTGAAGCGAATAGAGGCAAAATACAAATCTAACAACGTTTTGAACTGCTGCACAGATGTTGCCTCAATCACATGTTCGGGCAAACTGTTCCAAATGTTTACCACTGTTCTTTCGAAGCACAGTGGGTGGGGAACACATTTCATATCCGGCACGACAAGTTTGTATCTGTGTCCGCGGGTGCTGCATGGTCATCGTAAATGCAGTATTGGCCTTAGCATGGGGAACTCACCAAGATGTAGAATTCGGTAGGTCATAATGAGGTCGACTCGCACCCGACGGTAGGACAAAGTGTAGAGCCCTAGTTTCTCGCACCGGTCTTCATACCCAAAGCCACGTAAACTCGGGATGAGCCCGGTAGCAACGTGTTGGACCCGTTCGATCTTTTGTGCCTCGTCTCGGGTAATCGGAAAGTAGGCGGGCGAACCGTACTCTAGCATTGGTCTAATGATAGAAGAGAACAGGCGAGTGGCAACCTCTTCAGACCATGTGCCGAAGCTACGTTTGAGCGCCCAAAGCATGCACAGTCCGTTCCGATATAACCTGTTCGTGTTGTCCACGGACTTCAAATCGTAGCGTGAGAGTACACCTAGGTCCTTCACGGAGGGTGTGGGATATAGCGTTTGGCCGTCAGGAGTGTAGGTCCGGCCGTTAGCACCCTTCCCCAGGCTCATAAATATTGACTTGGCTGGGTTGACCGGGAGAAGAACTTCTGCAGACCATGTGGATAAGCAGTTGAGATCTTGCTGAAGTAGGCCACAGTCATCGGGAGCGTCGATTTCTCTCCAAATCTTCATGTCGTCCGCAAACAAGGCACACGGCGACCGGAGAAGCTGCGGTAGATGTGGATCAGGAACAGAGTGGGCCCCAGCACAGTGCCTTGAGGCACGCCACTTGTAGAGGGGTACCAGTCAGTTAGATGGTCGTCGACCTGTACCCTCCACTTTCGTCCAACAAGAAAGTCTCTGATCCACCGGTGCAGAGAGCCACCGACGCCACACTTGCTGAGTTTTTGAAGGAGAACCTCATGGCTGACTTTGTCGAACGCTTTACTGAAATCGATGAATATCACGTCGACGGACTTCCCCTTGTTTACTGCCTTCAACCACTCATGCCTCGTCACAAGCAGGTTCGTAATGCATGAGTGACCTTGCATAAAACCGTGCTATGCGGGCGCCAGGAACTTGTTTGACTGTAGCAACTGCAGCAATCTCTTCTTCACGATTTTCTCAGCAACCTTTGCCAATATAGGTGTCAGACAAATTGGCCTGTAATTGTCTACTTTGCTAGGGTCGCCGCCTTTCGGAATAGGCTTCACCACCGCACATTTCCAGTCAACCGGCAACAAACCTTCGGACAGCGACCTGTTGAAAAGATCAGTCACGACAGGAGAGAGGATGGTTGAAAGTGACTTGAGAACCAGTGGGTGAAGCCCATCAGGTCCGGCAGGTTTGGTGTCGTCAAGGTTGGCGACTAGTTGAGCTACCTCTTCAACGCCGCAACCAAGACTATCGAGTTCGGTAAAAGCGGTACACGTCGAACTCGGAACAGACACCTGGTTATTCGCAAATACAGAAGCGAAGTGCGCCGCCAACGCGGACGCACGCTCAGTGCTGGAGGTTAGGGGTTGTCCATCCGTGCCATCCAGCACTGGCACATTACCTGCCGGCTTCAGGCGTCGCTTCAGGATGCGACGGCTTATCTATCGAGTATATCACGATTCCCCGCTCATAAGTAATGGAAACTTCCCCACACAGCTTCTAAACCCTCCGTCGTGCATAATAATAATGTGTATATTTCTTATGATCCGGGAACTGTCCGTAGCAGCACAGATCAATTTGTAGAAGAGTCCATGCTCTTGCATGGGCGATACGCATACACGCAAAATTGAAGCATGAGATTCATATAATAGTGCTTTAGTACGTGCTCGAAATGAAAGCCAAGGTTTAGAAACGTAAAGGGTGGCCATGAAGTCCCCGGTCATTGTTCATAACTGATGTTTTTGCAATATCATTTATTATTTAATATTTGCACATTTATACTAATGTTTATAGCATATATGTACGATACTACTGCCTTTCTATTTTCAGGCATGCATTCGAAAAATGACCGATACAGGTCCCTACATCATTGAAGAAAGACTCATAGCTGCTGTCTAGGTACATGATCGAGTGCTAGAAAAAAGAACAATGACTGACATTTCCACCAAATTCCAGGAGCGTTTCAAGAAGCCTGCACCAAAAAGGACGCATTATTGGCATGGGAGAAGACATTTGCATCTGGATCTGTGCTGGATGCCCCTCGCTCCCGAATGGAGCACGTGGAAATCATTCGGCAGTCAGTTTTCAATGCTCCAATGAACTCGACTCGTAAGAGGTCTGCTGAATTGCATCTTCCCCGCTCCACACTCCAAATGATACTCAAAACCAACCTAGGCATGTTAGCATTCAGGCCAATGCAGGTCAGTGAACTGTCTGATATTGATCGACAGAATCGGATGGAAGCGTGTCAACACCTCCAGAAATTCCCCACAAAAATCAGTCGTCACAATGTCTTCTTTATTGATGAATGTGCTGTCTATCTCAGTTCACGATCACGAAATGTTTACGTTTGGAGCAAGATTAACCTATACTATGCTGAAGAAATCGCCCACACCCCACCGCACGTTATGATGTGGGCGGCAATGTCAGCCACCAAAATCATTGAGCCTTTTTTTCGAAAACTCAGTGAATCAGTTCACCTACCGAGAAATCTTGGAGACCTGGTTCATTCCACAATTGGTTTCAACTGGAATCATGCATGTAGACAATCTGCAGCAAGATGGTGCTCCTGCACATTTCGCTATCTCGGTGCACCGGTTCCTGAATGAGAATTTCCCTGGCCGGTTGATCACAGCATCAATGGTCAGCTCGCAGTCCTGATCTCTCATCATGCGACAATGCCTTGTGGGGCATGATGAAAGAAGACATCAGAAAAACACGTTACAACAACACAGAAAAACTTAAAGCTGCAATCCGTGCTTCATTGAACTCGATTTCCCCTGATGTTCTGCAACGCATCTCAGCACGCACTTGGAGACGCATTCGTCTATGTGCTGAGAATGACGGTGAACACACAAACACATTGGATCCATGACAATATGATCATAGGCTAGCACATGTTTGTTACAATGAATTTCATTGATCAGCGAAGAGCCTTTCTTTTCCTAGACAAGTATCATGTGCAATATTTTACATTATACACTGATTTACGTAGGTATATGCATAAACGTGAAGTTTCCGGGGACTTTGTGGCCACCCTGTAGATGCTCAGACCTTTTTTGGACACCTCTTGGAATAGTTTATCTAGCGATTTTCCCATGTGTATGTAGTCATTGTTGTATTCGGGTCACGGTAACTTGCGAGTTCCTTACTCAATGTTGCCACCTTTTCACATGATCTCATCGTGATCAGCAGTTTATTCCACAGACAGATCTATCTGATCAGGAAGAAATTGGAGCGCATACTTGTTTCGGTCTTTGGTATAACCGGTGTGTAATTTTTATTGCAAAACTCTCCATTTGGGCTGTGTTGCTGTTCGAGTGCAGTCAGATGGGATTAGGTCTTTTTGTGTAGCAGATTGCAAAACAGCAGCATGTTTTACTTCAATTATCACATCACACGTTTCTTGCAACGCTCTCGATAATTCATGACAGAAGTCAGAGCAATTATCTGGCTCTTACATATTAGCGTAAATCACGCTACAGTACTCGAGGATGGGGTGGGCGCCTAGTTTAAAAAGCTCAAGTCTAGAATGAATTGTGTGGATTTTGCTGGATGTATTAATCACAGATTGTCTGGCTTGCGCTATTCCCTATTGAGCCTGTTCAGCAAAGCTGACGGTCGATGACTTCCCAATTCTGAGATCGTGCGTGGACAGCTGTATAGGGCATGCCCACTGTTCAATGAAATGGATTTTTCTCGGATGGAACAACCGTATGACATGATGCTTTCTTTTTATCCGAGATATTTTCATCATCCACGAGTGCTACCCTGCCTCAAGGGTATATAAGTCATCTTGAATGAGCAGCAGCGTTTCGTCAGGTTCGTCACATCGAACCCTATAAACGATCTTGTTATCGTCGAAAAATAGAAATGGCTATTCCAAAATCCGCATCTTTATGAGCGAACTTATGTCCTCTGCATAGTTCGTAACTTGCTTGGCAGTGGATGATGAGTCGCGCTATATCAGTTTAGTTGTAAATCGTGACGGTCTGTCGTCTTAACTATGGTCTAGTGGCATAAGCAGCTGCCGTCGTGGGTTCACGGGTTAGGATCCTGGCATAGCCGAGAGATGCGCGCTACTTACGAGTTCCAGTAGATAGAAACAGACGTCTTTTGCTTCTCTAAATGTATGCGTGACTGACTGGGAGCGGATCGCGATGATCTAGATAGCGCAACCGAGCTGATCAGATGTTTCCGTCTCCGCCTTGTTGGACCGACTCTTTGGCTTTGTTCGCCACGAATATTGACAAAATGAAACAGTTTCCCTTTTTCTCACATCAAATGGCTGGAAGCATCATACCACAATTTATTAAAATAGGTGTCTGTGTGAAGCGGTTGAATATGTGGAATCTGATGCCGTGTGATTATCATTGTCGGCCGTTTTTATTTTGATTCCGTCATGTAACAGTGTTTGCTTTTTATTCCTAGATCTTTGCGATTCCTCATGGAAGACGGTGTGGTCCGCCCCACTACTTTACGTAGCCTGGTCAGACCCGTATCCCCACTTTCTCGGTTGAACCAAAACCCATTACCGCTGATCAATCCTGAAAGTCACTTAACTCATCGTCCAACTAATCCCAGAAGTCGCAGTCGCTCTCCAGTTCTCGCCTCAGCTGTCCACTTAGCCGATCGGGATTCTTACACTGGGGGAGAACGAGATGGTGAGGTACGCCGCATAATTGTTCGCCGCTCTGCTCCTGATCCTGATCCTCCCTTTGGTGGTCCAGTCCATGATAAACTATCAGCTCAGAAGGATCACGAAGATGTACGAAGAGATGATCAGCCGCGTCCTGTACGCCCTGCGAGGCACCATAAGATCGATCGTTCCGAGACTTGCCCCATCCTTGTGCGTCTTTCTTATTCTCTAAATGGTCGCCATCACTCTCTCAGTGAGTACGACAAGGGCAAATTCCCTGAAAACGAACTGCAGATAAACACATGGTAGGCTACAGCATGTTGCAGCGTCGAAATTCTCGTATGATACTGTATAACGCTTATCACCTGGTTGCGTCCACATGCCTTGTTTTACACACATACACACACACACACACACATATATATATATATATATATATATATATATATATATATATTAGAGAGCTTTTTCGCACCAGCTTCCAAATCAGATAACCCTCCACATGCTCGGAAAAGCACTAGGCTGCAATTTCAACCTGTTGGGCATCATCAGTAGTACGCATCATCGGATCCATCAGGATGTGAACCCGTGACCATCAGCAGCTTAAAACGCTGGCCAGCAGCTTATGCGACTGAGCCATAGGGAACAAGGGCGGGCCGTCATGATTTGCAAAGGAAACTGCGATATAGCGTGTTTTAGCCTTCACTCGTATGCATGTTTCCTCTTGTACATCAAGTGAATGGACGATGTGCGTGTTGAGGGAGTGTGAGCCGACTCCGATTCACTCGCGGCTCCCATCTACATGCTGCCTAGTGCTATTCCTTTGGGTTTACGCTGGATATGCGTTGTGCCGGTAGTGTAGCACAAACCATCTATAGCCCTCAGTAGGCGCAGGCGTCCGTTGAATGTTCTATGGAGGCCGCAGTGACAGACAACGGATTCGGATGCTGCCAACCATATGATCGCGTCAATCTGTACTGTAGGCTGCTTCATCAAAGGCCATGGAATGTTGGTAATATGTATAAACATCATAAGGAGAGAAGCGGATGAAAACTTGGCTTTTGTGTTCTCACACACCGTTTTTCTCCCTTCCTTGTCAGTTTACTGATTAATACGTAGCTTATTAGGTCAAGGCGTAAGTTCACACACACACTCTCCAATGAGCCCGATTGCACGGCATATCCTCAAAGTTATCCAACCAGCGGTGTTCTTTATCCTTGAATACCCAGCTCGTATGACGCACTGGACCGACAGTAGATTAACCGGAATCCCGCACTTTGGCATTTTGTTGCCAACTAATAGACTGATCATAGCACGGACTTATTCCAGTGCATTCATTGCGAGCGAGTTAAGCACATCGTAAGACGTAGTGCATCTTTGCAAGCCTGTCGTGATGAAAATCCGCATTATCTAGAGCGCGGCGTTTAAGCGTCGTTGCAAACGTTGTGTTTCCACCACACACAAGCTGTCCCCCGCAAACACTAGTTGTCAAAAGCCAACACCCGACGAACGCCATTCACACAAAGTGCTTGAGATGAATCATTTGATGGCTTTATTCATCCCTTGTTATTGGCTACCGGAGTTTGTATCTTCAACAGTCTTTGCATTCCGTTCTATGAGAGGACTTGCATCCCATTTCTGCATTCTTTAAGATCTTACGGATCAATATAGTTACGCTTTTGTTGATTCCTCTTGGCGTTCGGTTACTGTAGCCATCAGGTATATTTTACTGGACTCTTAGAGATGCTTTGTGGAGTGTATCAGTGTGCGCCTCCCATGTTGCCAAATCATACCCCTTTTCGATTTATGCACTGCCTTCACTCCTTGCGATACTTGTAAATTTTTCTTTAAGGATTGACTGTAGCCTCAAAGAGCTGGCTGAAGAGGTACGCGATGCTTGCCCTTCGGCACGACGCAGAGGCTCCCGTTTGCATTTCGCCGTCATTTACCCTGACCAGCGTGGCACATATCGTCGCCGTGAATTGGGTGTAGTGATCTCCGGCTTCACTAACAGCCAACAGGCGGAACCAGTTGATGCTGACAACCCGAATCAGACACAGCGAGCATTTCATCTCACAGACGACTCTGCCATCACCCTACTGTCCAAACGTTTTCACGTGAGTTCCCACCGAGATAAATGCGTTACCTTATTACGATGGTTGGTTTTGTTCGCGAACTTTGGCCTCCGTCCATGCCAATGGTCCCACCAAAGTAACCACCTTACTTCCGTTAGACACCGTAGTCCAGTGGACCCACCTAGCATGCACTCTAAAAACGATCTAGCCAACCACGATGCTTCAACTTCAGACCCAGTGCGACGTTCGCAACCACTCTTCTCATCTGATTGGCGTTTCTAGAAGCCACACAGGCCTTATCCTTAGTGTGCGCAGTAAACTTCTCGCTGTGTTGGCCACCAGAGGTCCTATGCGGTTGCCTTCATGGTTGAGATGACTGACCACTTCCAGTTTCTGTGTCCGGTGGACGGCCTCAACGACTCTGTGAGCGCATAGACTCGAACCAACTGGCGAAGCCCGGTGTTGTGAATGCGTATCAAACTACGCTGGCATCCAGGCTGAGTAAGCGCTCACTAAACGCAGTTGACGATCACTAATCGCATCTTCGCCAGACCATATTAGCAACAGGCTTGTCTTTTGGTGGCAAATCAAATTGCTACCCTGGACATTGGGTCTCTACACAATTTATGGAAATTATCAATGCTCCCCGACACATTCTGGCTGGGAGCGAACACAACGAAACTCCGCAAGACAACGTATTGGTCTGAAGAGAGACCGCAAAGCCTGGTGTTTATCGTGCATCGGACATGGAAATGGCCACTGCCCTTGGTAACCATCGGTAGTTATTCCGTCTGATACGCGAAACGGGCAGAAGGAGTTTTGGTGCTAGTGAGACCATACGCGACGAGAGTGGACAACCAATCCACAACCTGCCAAAACTCTTTGGGTGTTGGGCCGAGCACTGAAAGCAGTTTACTCAGCCGTTAACATATTCCTTATCGCCCATTGATCGCCCTTCTCCCTGTGCCTTGAACTCGCTTTCACACGCGGATGTCGAAATTGAAATCAGAGGGTTGAAAGTGCATAAGGCCGCTGGAGCAGATAGACTTCCTCCAGCGCTCTTCGAATTCTGGGGACCAACTCGACTAGATGATTTGTACAACTTACCCGTGAAGCTGTGGAGGTATGAGACTGTTCCAACGGGCTGGAAGTCATCCCTCAATCCCAGTTTTTCAGAGAGACTGACGTCCAGAATGCGGCATTCATAGATGGATCAGTCTGATCTAACTTGCCTCTAAAGTACTTGCCTCTGTTGTCCTACATAGGCTGACTGGCACCCGTGAAAGTCAAATTCGTAAAGAGCAAGCCGGGTTTCGTCGAAGTCTTGGCTGTATTAATCGCATTTTTGCTTTAATTCGGTTTTTTGAACATCGTCATATACATTGACGACCCACAATTCTCATGTTCCTCAATATTAACATTGCCCCTTGGGATTGTCTGCTCAGGAAAGGTGTGCCCAAAAAATACGTGAACATTATTAGAGCGCCTTATGCGCATATTTCGGGCTTACGGCAAGCTGTCGTCGCCCCTACATATCTGCAATGGTTTGAGAGAAAGTTTCTCGCTGTCACCTTTCCTTTTTGCCTTCGCCATTGACGAAGCCATGGAAGCTGCATTCATTGGACACGACTCGGGAGGCATTGAACTGATTCTTGATCGTCGACGATATTGCTGTAATCCGTGATAGTCCCTAAAGTTGCCAATCAGCACTGGACAGCTTAGCATTGGCTATCAATCGTTCTACTCCATGCATTGCACCCTCGAAATGCAAAGTCCTCCACACTTGTGCGGACCCTTATTTATCTGTTAGATGTCTACCAGACTGCTGCTACTGTCAAACGCTGTCGTCGAGCTGCGTATAAGAAACGATCCCAACTCGACCAAAACAATGGTTGGGTCCTAAATCTACGGCGCTGTTTACAACCCATTGGGTAAAAACATAAACAAATCCAAATTGTCCGCGTTCTGCGATCGATAACACGTAGCGCTGGCGCATCGCTCAAGTGGGTAAATTACGAGAAATCATCACGCCTCAAGCCGACGAGAATGCAATTGACAAAACATGTGCCGTACGGTCTGCGGCTGGTCGATCGATCGGCAGAAACATTCAGTGCAAGAATTGATCTCATGGTTGAACAGAGGGCGCGATGCACGGGGATTCGGAACGTGATGGTCAAGGTCATTCCGTGAACATGGAGTCCAGAACAGTAGTGTAAACGCACTGGGTAAACACACGCACATACATGCACGCCCACAAAGAAAGTGTGAAGACATGCGTCACTACCGAAAGCTCGGGTAGCCTCAAGGTAGGTAGTGCTCTTCTGGATTGAGCGACTTTCGCATAATGGGTTATCATCATCACACATCAGAGGAAGGTGAGCGACACACTTCAGTTATGGTGCCACAATACAAAAGCATTAAATATACGAAAAAGATGAGATAACTATCATTGCTGAAAGCAAACTTCTTAGTAACACTGTGCTTAAGATCGAACAAGTGGTTGGCGGAGGGAGATAAGCGGGATGGGGAAGGACAAATAAACTCATAATAAAACACCATTGTGGTGAACTCCTTGCCATGTAAACTAATATATCCAACTAGACGTGTTCATCATCCATCGGTTCTCAGCCGCGCCGTCAGGAACAATCAACCGACGTCAACTTCATCCTTCTTGACCAAGCCCTCGCGTGGACTCCCTCCTCTTCCATTAAGACCGCGAGCGCGAAAATAACGCACGTCGCGTCATCCGGAGTTCAGCCATGCACAACACATGACTCAGCCATCCGAACGTGGTGCGTGATATAACTGTTCCGAGACATTTATTTCCTCTTTATCAGTCTCTTTCTACACTAAGTACAAGACGCAGAGCACGCTCAGTGCTCACGCGTTGTTCCCACCAGATATGAGTTAAACCGTGAAAGTAGCTATGATCGAACGTAACAGGCCTCTTTAAGTCTGTCGACTTGATAGACCGGGTTTCGTAACCGTACAGGAGGCTCGAACAGACGGCTGCATTATAAGTTATGCCTTTCAGGGTGAGAGTGATGTCACGCCGGCGCCACATGTGGCAGAGATTGAAAAAATCGCCTCGTGCTTTTCCTTTTCGATTTGTGAACTCTTCCTCCATTCCACTGACGCTGACAACGGCCTAGATACTCGAATTTCTCGACGACTTCTAGATGGTGCTCGCCAAGAGTCACAGCAGGAGTGAGTCCATGCCAGTCTTGGGGAGGGACCTTACATTTCGAGGTAACAAATTGAAGCCCGAAACGACTGACATTCAATGCTAACTTGTCTAATGCTACTTGGCCCATTTGCTAGCTGTCACATATGAGGGCAATGTCATCGGCATCCTCAAAGTCAAGAAGTTGATCACCTATGAGCATTTGCACACCTAGGTCTTGTCTGGCGAACGCTCTCCATGACTTCTTCAGTGGCGAAGTTAAAGGGGAAACATGACAGCGGGCAACTTTGTTTCGCACCGCTGGAGATATTGAAGGGCAGCTAAGGCTTGCCGTGATCCCTTACTGTTCCCTGACTAGTCGCGTAGACCGCTCTGATAATGTCTACTTATTTTTTCAGACACACCTTTGCTGAGTAGACTGTCACAAACGGTACATCGACCAGCCGAAGGGAAACCACTTTTGATCTCGACGAACACGATTACGGTGTTGCGCCGATAAACGTGTCAGTGTTTTGACAATTGACGCAAAGTAAAGATGTGGTCGATGTAGCCTCCTTTTCGACGAAAGCGGGTTTGCTCTTCGCGAATCTTGTTTCACTTGTGACACCAAGTATATGTAGAACCACAGGCAAGTGTCTTAGAGACAATGGAGATCAGACTGGTCTCTCTATGGTTGCCGCATTCTGGACGTGTGCCTCCTTTGAAAATTGGGACTATGACGGATCACCTCTTGTCTTTTGGGACATTTTCCTGATCCCACAGCTTTACAAGTCAGTTATGAAGATCATCTACTTGAGCTGGTTCCTCGACTTTGAGAAGCGATGGAGGAAGTCCATCTGCTCTGGCGGTCTTATTCACTTTCAGCTGTCACGTGAGTGCCGGTCCAAGGCATAGGGAGAAGGGCTTTTCAAATTGTTCGGCCCGTTGCTCCAGTTTACTTAGCAAATTGTGGATTGATTGTCCGCTCTCGTCGCGTATGGTCTCACTAGCACCAAAACACCTTCTGCCCGTTTCGCGTATCAGACGGAATAACTACCAAAGGCAGTGGCCATTTCCATGTCCGATGCGCGATAAACACCAGGCTTTGCGGTCTCTCTTCAGACCAATACGTTGTCTTTCGGAGTCTCGTTGTGTTCGCTCCCATCCAGAATGTGTCGGGGAGCATTGATAATTTCCATAAACTGTGTAGAGACCCAATGTCCAGGGTAGCAATTTGATTTGCCACCAAAAGACAAGCCTGTTGCTAATAAGGTCTGACGCATCTGCGACCAGTGAGCGCTTACTCAGCCTGGATGCCAGCGTAGTCTGATACGCGTTCACAACACCGGGCTTCGCCAATTGCTTCTAGTCTATGTGCTCATTGAGTCTACCAAGACGCTCCTCCATGTCGGCGCACACAAATACGTGATCGGAGTCTGCTCTCGGGCTCCCAATTTTTGGGCATAGCCTTTCTAGCGATATCTGATCTCGACCTGTTCATTTTTCTCCATTGCTGGTCCGAGACTGGTGGGTTCCATGTCGCTCTTCTGTGGGTGCTACGTCGAAACTTATTACTCAGAGAAATAGACACACAGGTGTAGCAGTCGCTCGCCATACGGGAGCCTCCATATCATTCAGTTTTTTTCTATCTCGAAGGAGCGCATTAAGTTCGTGATGGAGTTCATCTCTCACCGAGTCGGCGCTATAGTTTGTGGGCGATAGGTGTTCGGATGCTACTGCCTTCCCGTTTTCTTTTTTCCTCTGACGCATTTTCAACCTTATCGTTCCATTCCCCCTGTTTTCAATCTCCCATTTCTTGGCTCTTTCCCATCTTGCTTCACTGGTCGCTTGTCTTCTAGCTGTGGTTCACGCGCAATTG